TTTTTTAACGTCCATTGTCCCCATCTTTATCTCGAGCTAACCAGACAATTCCGCGCCACATCCCACTGCATTTTCTGCCTTAATTTATTTCTTCGCCACGTCAAACTGAAGCAAGGACAACTTTACGCTTGCAAATTATGCAAAAATACACATGTCTCTGCTGTTTTGCCACCATCGCCTCCTATTCAAATTGTTTGCTACTCCGGCGAGCTACAGCACATCACAAGTCTCAGAGCACTGCAACCAAAGTAATTGAATTTGATTTAAAGCTTTCGTGACTGCAGTAATTCATATTCTTAGCTCTTTCGGTAAAGTCACGTTGAAGGGAAACAATAAAATAATAAAATATATTTCTATATATTTTTTTTATAAAATATATTTCTATATATTTTTTTATTACTTTATTGTTTCCCTTCAACGTGACTTTACCGAAAGAGCTAAGGATATAATTGAATTTGTTTAGGCGAATATTGCCCCTTCTTTATGGACACATTTCTCGTTGATTTTTGCAGATATTGTATCGATTTCCAATTATTTCAAACACAGCGACCGAAAGCAGAAGAGAATAAAGTATCAGAGCAGTGAATTTGAACAAATTGAAGGTCAGGTATATACAGTGCTACAGTGACATGAAGTGAGGTGTTTTATAACATACTCTTGTGCAAGAATCACTGCCATTAATACAGTGCTACAGTGAACTGCAGTGAAGTGTTTGATGACATACTTTTGTGCAAGATTCACTGCCATTAAATTTACACAAGATACAATTATACTCCGCTCAATTTTTGCGTAAATATTACAGCTTCCGTCCTAGGACGGGCAAAGATGCGCGTATGATTAGATTTTTTTCTTAAAAGTTGCATTAATTTCAACAACAGTGAGGCAAAAGTTATTGTGCTGTCTCTAAAATATGTTGTTACAAATGTTCCTCAAAATATATTGAAAATAACTACTAATTATTCCACACACCATCAATGTGGCCATATGATATATATACAGTACTGTGTACATATTCACTCAATGCTAAACAAGTCAAAGAGTAAAAAAAATGGCTTGGATGATGAACAATTCCAACAAAATGTGTGCATAAAATGAGCAACACGTTTTCACCACAGTCGAGTGAATGTTGACCTATCAAGCACGTCGCACTTTCTGTCGGGCATGCCACTTGGTTGCTCTCCGGGTAATTCCAACGGGCTTGACAACATCGGAGCATCAGCTTGTTGCCTGCTTCGTGAAATTCTCATTGTTGGATGGCAAGTGTAAAATGTACCCTCTCCTCTCAGCCGTCGCTATTGAACTGACATTAATGGGCCCTCCTCCGGTCAACAAAGCGCCAGCTCGCTGATCTCATTTTAGCAACCATGACCTCATAAAACAAAGCTGTGTAGGGTCACAACTTTCAAAATATGGCTACGAGATCTACACACACTAGCTTACTAATGGGTATTATGTCAAAGGGTATTTAATATTTGCATTTTAGAAAGTACTCAGAGTTCAGTGATTCCCCCGCAGAAATCAATGGGCAGCTGTGGTATTTGAACCAATGTTTGCTAACCACTCACCTTTTCATCTGTCTATGTAGCCCAGTATATTAGAAAGCAATTAACGAGCTTAGCAACCCATATATGAGCTTACACGGAGGTGCATTTTGCATTATGAAACAATATATTATCCTTACAGATTGTGGAATGACTCTATGAATTGTTAATTAAGCACTGCCTGGGCAAGAATTTACTTACCACGACCCAATTGCACTGAGCGTTCATAACGACCGTGAGTCTGCAGTCGACAGTGCTAACTTCATATCTGACATCACCGTATAACAAATCAGACTCAAGCAACATGGAGATACGCTGAGTTTGGTTGCTGAGGGTAATATGAACAGGGCAAAAACACATTTGAAATAATTTCTACATGAATATTTATAAGCATAGATGACAGCTCATTGTTTGAGACTTTTTTTTCTGGTGGCTGTTCTAAAATTATTCATAGAACATATACGGGGTTCTACCAACACCTTTAATTGCATGGCGCTGTTTTCACAGCGATACATGAACACTGAGATAATACCATTGCAGATTTCAAAAGGTTTGAAATGATAGCATTGGTAAGAAAGGTGAGCACTATGGATTAGCAATTACTTGTATTTCCTGATTGCAAAATGCTAATTATATGGGATGCATGTAATGTGTTAGTCAACTAGATGGATGAACATTTGGTAAATATATTCCAGAACTATGCAAATACTTTACCTAAAATTTTGAGTATACATACATACATACAGAAACAGACAGTATCTCGGTGAATTACCATTACATATACAAATAGATATATGAATGTTAGCATTAACAGACGAAACAAATATTTCGATATACCAAGTATTATGCAACTGACTTTTTTTTATAGAAAATTCAGTGTCAGTACGGCCACTGAAAAAAATCAGTTAATAGGAAGGAAGACACCACCAACTATAAAATACATATGCTTAGCTCTTTCGGTAAAGTCACGTTGAAGGGAAACAATAAAATAATAAAATATATATAACAATTAAATCAATATATATTTTATTATTTTATTGTTTCCCTTCAACGTCACTTTACCGAAAGAGCTAAGAATATGAATTACTGCAGTCACGAAAGCTTTAAATCAAAATTTATAAAATACATGCTGAAATTCTAAGATATAAGCATGAATTCAACTGGAAAAAAATATTGCAGATGTAATGCTTTCATTTTCAAATTACATTACAGAAACTAAAATAGAAGCATTGCATTCTTTATTTTGTACTCTCATTTTCCACCTTTCGTCCCGTACAGAAAACCTTGACTAAAAAAAAACTTATTTTCCCTTCAGCAGTCACAAGGAGCATCATTAAAGTGTAAAAAAAAAACACCCTGACATGGTGGTTGTGGAGGTGTAAAACAGCCGCCCTTTTCTGCAACCGTATTGTCAGCGCAGCACCTGACAACACAGGCTGCAATAATATCCTGCTCGATTGCTCACGCGCTGCTGAATGCACGTGTGTGCAAAGAATGGTGGGCGTCTGTAAAAATATTCCATCGGCGGATGGAGCGGTGGACGCAAGTGATAAGCCTGCGCAATGCGCTGTGAATCCGACCACCTGTGTTCGATTCCAAGCAGTGGCTAAAGTCAGTGGTGAGCGATATCTGAACTCTTCCTGGCCCCCCTGCCCTTCCCCAACGGCGTGCCGACTCGCGTGGTGAAGTATGGCCAAAGCAACATCCATCACCGACACACAATCTGGAGGTCTTTATGTAGCAGTTGATTGACAATGTTGCCGTGATTTTTTTTTTAAATCTTCACTTCACTTTCTAGAAATTACGTGAGGAAATGTTCCCTTCATCACACAGGAATGCCTGCTAAACGCGAATGTGTGTGATTATTTGTGATATTTTGATTGCCTGCCTGAAAGCAGAATTGCATTCTTTAATAGTATAACACTTTATTGAATTAATATAGATTAATTTGAATAATACAGGCTAACGTATAATATGAAACACTGATATTTATACTACAGAGTATATAGAGTCAGTATATTTATATGTAAATGCATCATACACATGTATTCGGTTTTCACATCTATATTGTATAATTCATCATAACTACCAGCCATGTTTTATCCACTGCTGGATGAAGGCCTACGCATGGCATATGGCCACTCCCCATAGTCTGCAATGCTGCACTCTCAGCATTGCGATCCCTCATCTGGCTGCCATTCCATCACCAGTCTCGTTCATTGGCCATCATCCTTCCAGTATAGTCTTCTGCCCAAGCCCGTTTACATTTTTAAACAGTCCTAATGATGCCTCTAATTTGCATGTCTTCCAAGATCTCCATGTTCTTCCTCTCAATGTATGTCCCAGCATGCATCATACGATAGTGTACTTATGTTATACTGATGTCATAATTAGCTACGCTAACAATCTAACATCCAAAATCACATATGCATTTATACTGGAGGAATCCAATGAGCTATCGAGCTCTTTCGCACAGGTGGCAAAAAGGTTGGTGACCGCTGCTGTAAGCCACACCAAGGGGGCCCAGTGGGCACCACAAAAGCGCCCTGTAGAATTGTGCTGTGGGCCTTTAGCTCTGCTGCTGCTGCTATACATAACCACAGGCGACAGTATCCGTTGCTGCAAACCAAGTTCCAGGCACTGGTTGCAGACCTGTCTGTAAATAGCGCTGCAATGTCATGGCATGGGCCACACTGCCCGTCCCTGCTGTCTCTGCTGTAAGCTATGCTCCTAATTACCCTGCCATAGATAATGTGCTGCTGGCTCCCGTCGTTGACGGTGCTATAAGTGGAACAACCACGAGCCAACTTGCAGAATGCGATGGCTCGTAATTTACGGCTCCCTAATTTGCCTCATTTAAATGTTTGTCCCTTTTGTCCTGGGTATTCGAATTACACAACGTTCATGAGGATATATATGTCACGGGTCAACTGTTTAGCCTGTACATGTGCAGCCCTTTTGTTGATCAACTGCTGGATGAGGGTCTCTTCCACGCCGTGCGGATCACGAGGCTAAGTCGATCGTACTTCACGACACTGCTAATTGTGGGTTGTTGAAGGCAGAGAGCAATGGACGTGGGAGCATAAAGGCACAGTACTACTAATGGATGTTGCTGGACTACCCTCTGTTGTCCACAATTTGGCTCTGAAGTCCACGACCCCTGTCATGCACCGTGGTTGCCCACCCAAGCAGTATTCAGGCTGAGATCTGCTTAGCTCCCAAAATCTGATGAGACTGAGTGGATTCTGGTCAGTTTGGTCATCGTCTATGCTGCCTAGAAACACATTTTAAATACTTCATCTACAAAATATATTTGTGGTAGTAATCTACAATGAAAAAAACAACAACTTGTATTTAATTGCAATAAAAGACCAGTAAATATCTGCTTGATACAATATTTACTGACAGTGTTGTGACATTTACAAGCAATGCAAAACCAATCTATTACCCTACTTGAAGATTGAAGCATACCCAGATAAATAAATGACACTACTGTATGAATTGCATTATGCAATTTATATATCAACAACACTTCTCTTACAGTATTCGCGTGACGTTTTCGCTAAAACGACATATTCCGTCCACTGTGTAAAGGACACAACATCCAAAATTAATCTGCTATAATAAAGCCAGATGTTCGTAACAAGCTATTAAATTATAATTAACATGTTTTTTTTTGTAAAAGCACTGTGTTATTCAAGGTTGTCTCGAAAGCGTTGTGCAGTAGCATTTACTTGCTTGAACACAAATTCAGAGCAACGGCGACTGGTTACAATGTGTTTGGTGCATATAATGTTTTCCCTCAATGCTCCTTGTAATATTTAACAATTTTCTTTTTAATTCACTTTTCAAAAATATGAATATGAAATATGTGGAATATGATTTCATAACATTTGGTTACTACTAAAAATGCCACATTCAAAAATGATAATCCTGCCACATTCACCCAAGGCAAGACCCCCTGCAATATTCTCTTAAAAGCGAACCCAATTGCATCCAGCATCACTCTGTCATCCACAGTTGGCAATCAGGTCTCATCCAATTTTTACCCATGCACTTTGACAGATGTTCACATTCCAAAAAAACATAGTAGCATCCTCAGCACTGAAACACCTTCAATGACAATGCGTGTGTTATTAATACGTATGCTCTACATTGAAATAACTAGTGCTGTAAAAAAAACCGACCTCGATTGCCATCAATGTACAATCGTTGCATATGTTAATGAATGCACAAGCGTGAGTGTTTTTTTTCCTATGCCTAGGGGGATTGCATTGGGATAGATTCAGCTGAGCTGCTATCTAAGGACCACAAGCGCCACTCCCATCCTCTCTGGGCTAATTGGCTAATTTTTCAGTCCTAAAAGCCGTGTGCTCGGCTGTGGGTTGCGATAAGCCCCGGTTATCAAACTAATTATCAGGCAGGTCCTGACTGGATAGCATTCCTAACAAGCATGCCACCTCCAGGTTAAGTTAATTCCTGAAGGAAAGGGACATTTTATATGTATATGTACCTAGGGTCCAAAATTCTTATTTTATTTTTTCATTCACTTACTGTACTGGACTGAAATTGGGTGACCTGTCACAGGAACAGTTCAATGGATCTTTTTTATACGGAGAAAAATACGAACACAAAATAACATGCCTCCTTCTGTACGGTCTGCTTTATGTATTTAGATTCACGTATGTATACTGTTACACATTTGTGTTGTTATTTTTCATTTACTCCAGATTGATTTAATCAATGTAATTTAACTCAACGCTGCACATTTCGAGGGGCGATCAGTGTGGGGCAAAGGATGGGTATACTTCCACCTTTTCCAGGAAGTCTGAGTAGTGTGGAAGAGTAGGCCAACATACCCTTTAGAGCAGTGGTTCTTAATCTTTACTGCGGCCTTGCACCCCTTTGGTTCTCGATTGTAAAAACAATGTATGATGTTAATAAATACACAGGTTTGATGAAACAAAGTAGTTGTACTTATGTGCCCGTGCTTGACTTGCGTTTCGATGGTTTACCTTATAAACTATATGGTGTTACCTTATAAACTATATGGTGTTACCTTATAAACTATATGGTGTTACCTTATAAACTATATGGTGTTACCTTATAAACTAGATGGTATATATCCCACAGCCACAGGGGGTGCGTGCACCCCATGTTCAGAACCACTGCTCTAGAGGGGCTGCAGAGCTTCCTCTCGCGGAGCCCCTGCCACCATCAGAGGCTTGCGAAAGCAATAACCTTATAATGGTGCAATATTAAAAAGTGTTTTAAATTAGTGTGGTCTGCAGCATTCTATAAATGTTATGTTTTCCCCATGCAATGGTATTTGTAAAACCGTTATGGAATCACCCCCCAACCGATTCTCACTTCACAAAAATATATTAATAATAATAAAAACCTTTCAAAATGGCTGAGTTCTGGATGTTTTCAGGACAGTTTTGGCACATAACAGTTCAGGGTTAATCTCCAAATTACACAGTAAGTATGGACAGGTCTCTACATAGAGTCTGAGTGCATTGGGATTTTTTTTCCAGTCTGTGATTTTACATTTCTCGTCTCAAGGTGCCGTGGTGAGAAATCTAATTTAGGTGCTTTGTGCATCTGCAATGCCCTTTTTTAAAGGTCAACAATGGATGACGAATTTTGCATCTGCCTGTAAAATAGCCAATGATGAGGCTTCACATTCAAATTTGCACTCATGTCTTCTGGTATTTATTAAAAAAACATAATTATTGGTAAAAAAATATAACGAAACAAATTATATATCTTTAATGACTGTAAATATACTGTACATCTAAATTAGAATGCTAGGTAAAATACATTATCTTTTATGATGTATGGTTGCTTGTTGACACTATTCATGGTTTGATTAATTGCATATATATTTCTAACATTATTCATGTTATAAGAACAAATAAAAACCCTTACTTTAAATGGAGGTCAAATATTACCAGGTATATTATACATTCTGAGGTCAAAAACACATTACATTTTTTTAAACATTGTAAAGTATTCAAATGTGACACATACATTTAATACTTCACTCGTAATTATCACTTTTCCACAAAATATAGGGTCTGCTTGAGTCTCTAGATTCCTGAGGTCAGGTCCCCAGAATGTTAGCTGACCTTGCTGTGTCCTAACATGCTTCAAGATAACCTAAATAAATAATTCAGCTAATGATAGAAAAACACATTTAGGTTAAATAGTATGGAGAAAAAAATCCATTTGGAACTGTATTGTATGTAACATAAGACATTATAATTAAGATGATTAAATACCGCACACATGTATACAATAACACTCTTCTCATCCATGACAGCGGATTGGATTCGATAGCGGACAAGGGAAATAACATAAGTAGAGGTATTTGTCCTATAATCCACAGAAAAAAAATGTACTTTTATCCATAGTTCATATGGATAATTTGATGAATTTTCTCTTGAGTGAAGTGTATTCTAGTACAGTGTATGTAGTATTCTGTATCCTGTAGCCGTGGTGGCATTGCTGGTCAGTGTAGATGGTGGCAACAATTTTCAACAGAATGTCCTCAAGCATTATCACACGTCGTCGTCGTCGTCATCATCATTATCCGCAGCTATTAGACAATCAGCAACATCCTCTGAAACATTCCTGCTTATCCCAGAACAACATGGATTCTGTGCGTTTTGGTTAAACTCCTGAATGGTCATCAACTTTTCTGCGTACTGTTCCAACTCTTGCGGTGTGAATAAACAAAACAATTAGCACCGTGGCGTTAATATTATGCACAGCTGTTATGGATAAAGGGATGACTTTCACACCGCACAATTGGCAGCAGTGTATTATTCACGAATGCCACGGATAGAGGAATAATTTAGTACCTTTCCACAACTCCGTCTTCTTATCTGTGAAATTACAGATAATGGGAGTGCTAATTTGCGAAGTCATAGGATAATCGTGGATCGACCCAAACCCATGGATATTAGGAGTACGAGACAAGAAGGCCACATTTTAATAAAAGCTTCATCGTGTATGTACATTCAAACAGCATGTACAAATGGTTGAAATACATAAACTCAACACATTCATGAATAATACTGCCATAAAAAGGAAAACACATGATTGGTGGCATTTCAGGGAATGGGTCTTCTTCATAGCAGAGAGAGGAAGCAAGAAATACAGTTAGAAAGATTAAGGTGGATTGTCAGACTGTCATTGCATTTGGCACAGTGCCTGGGGAATGCAAAAACCATGACTGTAATTGAGGCCTTTTGGCCAAGGAATACGAGGGGATTTAAAAGAACTGAGCCACTTTTGCCCTCTAAACCAATTTCATGAGGATTTGCGGGTTGAGAATTTAGCCGGATTCTCTCTTTCTCTTTCCTCTCGTTTTGACCTCAACAAAGTGCACGGCGATTTTATGTTTCGAACTAAAAAAAAACCCTCTTCATTAAACGTTTGCAGACTTGCTTAAAGTGGACAGCGAGTCAAAATTATTTTCTGCTCAAATGAGCATTCAGGCGATGCTCATCTGCTCTTCACAGCCTTGAACTGGTGGTGGCATTTCCATATTCCTTTGGCCGGGGAAGAGTCTATCCAGTGTATGCATTCCATGTATCTGTGGTGGTGCTCGAAAGCAACATATGTATACATTTCATGTAGGGAATAAACTAAGAGGAAAATAGATGATTTAATTAGTGATTTAATTACACTGCTGTAACATGACACCTGAGCTCCTTGTGATGGCTGTGCATGGGAGGTTTTTGCATTAAAAATCAATGCACGTAACTAAAAGTGCAATGAAGTGCAAGCTCAGTGTAATACAGCTTGATCGGACCTGCTGTCAAAAACCCACTGAGGAGAATCGAACAGTGTCCAATTGAATAATGAAATCGCTCAGAAAGCATTTCTGTCTTTTGAGCGTGTAATATCTCAAATAATTTTTATTTTTACGAAGCTACACTTGCTGCTTTGCACAGGACAAGAGTGCAGCATTCCGTTTGGAATTCGTATGCTTGAGATAAAAACAAACTAAGTTGTTGAGAAAAGGCACGAAATGCCAAGCAGGCAACAACAAACGGCACTGCCGAAGTTTTAATCGATAAGATACAACATATACTGCATTATGAACACATACTGCATTATGAACACATATACTGCATTATGAACTAACAAATGTTATGAGACCTTGGGAAAAGAGACAATGGACAGGGAATCCCAAAATCGAGCAGTGTGTTGGCACCGATTCCACATGTAAATTTCTCAAATTTTCAATTAAATTTCAGTTCAACTCAATAGACCAGAATGAACCCTCATTTTGCGAGAGTGACCTGGGTCACCAAAATAACAAAAGCTAAAGAAATCAAAAATACAATGCAGCAATTAAGTAAATGGAAATCACAACAAACACCAAAATCAGACGTACTGCGTGAAGATAGGCGAAACACGTTAAACGCATGCGGTACACGGGATGCGACCTGAAGCTCTGAATAAAGGCATAATACACAATCAAATAAATGCTCAGGTGTCAATAATAGCTGCAAACTCCACCTTCTAAATGATGTTAAATCTTAAAAGCTGAGATTAGAAAACTACAAGAGAGTGAAGCGGACTGATACAACGTGCTAAACAGCCTTCTATCTGAGAACAGAAGATTGCTCAATACAAATTACCATGGCACATTCAGTGGCTTGCAATGCTGCTGGAAATCTTATCGCGGGCATTCCAAAGACAGTGGTTTATCGTCGTATTGTTTTTTTCCCATACTGGTTATCTCGCCAAAGTGGTACAAAATCGCATCCGAAATGTGCCACAAATATTTATTGCAATCGGCACACGTCGAAAAAATGGAAACATTGCATAAAAAATGCATTGTTTAAATAATGTATTACCGTGTTATTATATATGCTGCAGTGTACTTTGCAAAGCTCATTTAATTCGAGACTGAGAGGCACACTATGAGTTTCGCTTTGACATTACATCGTTAGATTATTTATTGTTAACAAGCAGACAAAGGGACATGTTTTACTTTTAAGGCCAACATACTTTGCTCTGCTTTTACCCAAACCACAAGGTATCAATCATGTATGCCCACTTAAATAATTATCCAAAAATGTGGGCCAGTTCGTGGAGGAATCTCATTGAGACTATGCGTATTTGCGCATGTTTTTGTTTGTTTAGAAGCTGCAGAATTGAAACCATAGTACATTTCTTCTTTTCAATTTAAAGAATCCTTCTTGGCTAAATCATCAAATGAAAATAAATATATCGAACAATATATGCCGGACAATATGAACAAAAGCCAAAGGCAATGACTTGCTCATCAAAACCTGAATGTTATTGAGTGCAGTATTGTTGTTTACAACAGAACACGCCCCAGTGGAATGTAAAAAGCAAGCGGTTTTGTAAGTGGGGACCAAAATCAAATGTGACACGAGGCTCTCGACTGTAGCGGTCTGTGTTCCACATGTCTCTGTGTGCCCCTTCTGAGATGCGCAAGTGACTAAAACAGAGAATTGCCTCCAAGAGAGCCTGCAATTCTACCTTGCTACAAGTTTTCACCTACTCCCCAAATATCATTAAAGCAACAATGTTTTTTTGTATTACTCTTTGGTTCTTTCGGTAAAGTCACGTAGAGATAAATTAAATAATAATAGAATACGACGTTTCGATTGCAACACAAGCAACCATCATCAGGTACAAATGAATGAGAAAACAAACCTAGTGAACTTGGACATATAATGCAATACAACCCAGAGAGTCGGCTAACACAACAGTCAACACCCCACCTGGTTGATCAACGTTCTTCTAAAGAATGCTACATTTGAATGCTGTGTGTGTGTGTATAATAATATATTACAACCGCCGTTCACCACGGCACTTGTGTTATGCTACAGTAGGTGCACTTTGAGGCCACGTGAAGTATCGAGGGCTTGCTGGCAGCAGGTCACGGAATATATATATGGAGCTATATGATAGATGTAATTCCAAACAACGCGCAGTACAAAGAGAAAACACATTGGAGTGCTATACAGCACAACTGCTAAAAACTATCCGTAGTAAAAGTATATATGTTATACAAATGGTGTTAAGTAGATGAAGTTTAATTTGATCTACCAATACAGTTCACAACATGAAATAAATATATGGGTTTTAGTCCTGTGAGAATTATATTTTTCTCCACAATAGCACCATGAATTAAAATTGCATACAACATACATTTCAATGCAATGCACCTTTTAAAACATTCATGCTGAATTGGAAAATACCACATACTTCATAGCTGTTTTATGAAATTACTGTGAATTTTATGACAGGTGTATAGAATAAAATAAAATATATACATTGGAAAAAATACAAGTATTGAATACTCACCTAGAAAATATTAGCAATAGTTGGTAAATATTCAACTCGAATACATTTGATGTAAAACATTAAATAACAGTCATATTTTTAGAGCAGATGACAACAATGTGCATATTCTACGTGACAATATAACTTCAAAAATAGTGACAATATTTGATATTTCACCATTAAATCAAACCAATTTTTTTAAAAAATAAACGTCTGCTCATGTCCGATGTAAAATAAAAGCATTCAAAACATCAAAATACAACATTTAACAACTCCTGTAAATATAATTTTCCTGGTGACATTGATGAATTGATCAGCAAGTGCTTAGGAAACAGGCATACAACTCTCATTTCAAAAGGGCAATCTAGGCCACACCACAATAAATCATATCTTTTCCACATTTGATAAGTAACATTCACTCATTGCAGTTTGCCCGTACAATATATGATGGTTTGAAGCTGTGGAGGTCGGCTAGCTGAATTGTGTGCTACGCCTCATATATATCCTCTGGCTCACAACTGGTGAAAGCAGGATAAATTGCAAATCATCACGCCAGTCTGGCATCTCATCGATCTGATGGTCATATATTTCTCTTTTCTTATTTTCTAGACCTCTTCTCTGTTGTATCCATCAACAGCACTGGTCTCTTTTAGCTGCACAACAGTAAATAATGCGGCACAATATTACTAAAGGAAGACTAAACATCTCATCGTGGCTTTTTGATGTTCGCTATGAAAAGCCCTGATTCATATAATCGTAACTAAATAAAGTTTCCATAGAATTATATTTCTAGGCCATTTTCATATGTAATTATTCATTCTTCCATGCGGTGGTTGCTTTAAATTATACATGTACCTGTACATTTTTTTTTACATAATGTATTTTTTTATTTGTAATTCACAAAAGTCATATTGATTCTAAATAATACTTTATTTTACTGATACCAAATGACAAAAAAAAATAATAACTTAAAATTATAAAGAAACAGAATGGACCAATTGCTCTTTATACACATCACTGTTAAGCATATATAATGTATCAGGCGGGGATTATGACAAGAGGTTAATGAATCGATCTGTCACAATTATACGTGCCTAAACTTACACTGACCTTTTCTCTACCTCCCATGCAGCATGTCCCATGAATAAATTATGTAATAACGAAAATTGGAAAACTAAGCAGATGTTTTGTTGAGCTATTGAGGTGTGACTTTATCCATGTTAAACGATTGTTGTGGATGTCGTTTTGACCTGTATGGATCTGTAGTATACAAATCAGCCCTAATTAAATATAGACAGTTACTTTTCTGTTCAAAATGCAGTTACGGCATTGCGATTCATAACCTAATTTCAAATTCATTATTTTTTTAACAAAAATTGTGAATTTTAGTTTTTTTTTACAGGCTTTCTTTGACGCTTCTGAAACGAGACAATTTTGCAATTAGCTGTCCTGCCGTCAACCCTGCACCCTAAAAATCCTACCACCGTATCTCACATCTCATTCCCCCACCTCCTCCCCCGTTTAACCTCACATATGGCTTTTCTACCTTCACGCCGGCGATGCGTGTCCTGAAGGCGACGGTGTCACGTGTCACGCGCACGTGCAAATAACCCAGGGCTGGCGGTGGACGCGTCTACGGCGCCGCTGTGCTTCACTATTTGCTGCCACTCCGCTCGGGCATCCCCGCAGGTTGCCGTCGGCAAACCCCTCCGGATCGTGCAAGGACATGCTGTCTGAACGGGGTATTCCACAAGCGATACAACCGTAGGTTGTGTTCTGTTCTCATTATAAAATAACACGGGGCCAATATTATTTTGAAAATTGTCTCTAACATATTGCAATGGATGTTATATACACATACACATGAATATATATATTTACTCGACCACATATACATAAATATATAGACTACATATATAAATGTGTGTCGTCGATTAAATAATTAATTTCAGTATAAAATATTGATGAAAGCATAATTAACTCGAGAACCCACCAGGTGCAGAGGAGGTTGTTATAGAGGCTGCGGGGTTAACACGGAAGAGTGGAGGGCAGTGCAGCAACATCCATCGTTCTGCTGTATTCATATTCATCTATGCTCACCACTTTCACCAGCCTGCATTAACCCAGCGTGAAGTGTGGTTAAATATCCCACCCCCCCCCACCCCACAATCTGTACGGTGTGGCGAGACGCTCATCCAGCAGTGGATTGTCAAAACGCCGAATAAAATAAATAAATGTCAGTAGGTGTGTCCTTTCGTGAGCAGTACATAACTGAATCAGACAACACGTTGAGCGAAGATGATTTCTTAGAAATTGGTTGCGCTTTCAGCAATCTGACAACTGTTCAATAGTTTTTATCGCGTTAGCCTGAATTGAGAAGCAGATAAACTCGATGGCCTGCCGATTGAGGCTGCTATCCCACGCCAGAGAACTAAGTCGGCTTTCTCTTTTCTTGTCGGTGGGAGATGGTTATACTCTCTTCAAAAGCCTGTTGTGCCTTCATGCATCTGTGCTAACCACAACCTCTATCTGCTGCAAAGTTATCCCAGCTGTCAAGATCAATGCGGCAAAGACGAATCGGGAAACGCAATACCCGATTGAAGGAGATGGAATTATACGCAACTGCAATGGCCTATCGCACATCGACCTGTCAACCCATACAGGTGTGAGAGATGCCACCAGGACAGGCAGCACCACCCATAATGGCAAGGGTTGTCGATTCCAATTCAATGAACAGACCGAGTTCCCACTTTTGAGATCCTCGTTTCAAATCCATGCAGCCACCCAATGATTCAACCAGGTTCTCAATTGTAGTTAATTGATGGCCTCACCCTGGCCACAAATGACACACTATTAAATCCGGGCTTTCACTTGATTTGGTTTATTCTCAGATAGTAAAATTACACATTTTGGCTTGATTTACACACAACGAACACACTTTTTACAAGGCATGCAAAAGGTATAACCTCGAGCGTGGATCTCAAGGCGTATTTGAAGTGACTTCAAAAAGTAATTCTGAGACATCATCTTTGAGGGGGCATTCTCTGACACAGTGTGATGCATTGCTCGCTACAGAAATGGCAGCCAACATTGTGAACATGCTCTAGAGGACGTCCACGGTGGTGACAAAGCGATTACATATCAGCTTGTGCACAGCAGCTGGGTGGATTGTTGGGATTGTTGAACCATGACAGATGGCGACGCCTTGGGGAGGCCTTCAACTGGGAGTGAAAAAGACTGTGGCTGATGATGATGACTTCATTTTAAAGTGCTCAGCTAGTCAGTCTGGATATAGAAGTAAGGCTGCCAAGGGAGCTCCTGGAATTAAATTACCCGATGCAGATATTGACGAATTGAATGATTAACTGTTATACATGTGACTGGCACTGTGCAAAAGCGACAGGTAATGGTCGAGTTTGCCCAAGCAGAATTTGCTTTTCAAGTACATTTATAGTGAAGATCCGAGCTGAATAATATCGGTCTCATAAACACAAATATGTGACATGCAAAATGAAAGCTCTCATGGTGACCATGATGATGTACAGAGAAAGAATGGCGTTAAACGTAAACATTTTTTTTTTAAATGAATGCATCTCCTTTGCATAGTCTCCAAGTTAGATTGCCAATTTTGCTATCACACGTTTACAACACGCAGTATTTTCTGACCACTTTCGTGAAAGCGTGAGGTTGTGATAATGGATGGCTGCATGTTAATGGATTTAATGAATTTAACCATATGCCTTTCTGCCACTGCAGAGCCTCTCTATCAGGCACAGTTAGCCGATTCCCTTGTATGCTTATACACATTTAAATATAACCCCCGGCTTAGGTCACGCAGATATGTACTGTAATTAGTAGGATTTTTTTCTCCCCTAATGTGTGGAACCAACGGAATTGCCTGTTCACAAATTATGCATGTATACGTGTGACTGTGGAAAGACCTGGAATGGCCTGACCATTTTGCCTCATCTCGCCACGGTAAATTTTCTTCCCTCCCCTATTAATGTATTCATGGAACTCTATTGAGTAATTTCTATCCTGATGTTAGTGGTAAGATCATTTACTTTGCCTGCTTTTAAGTTCGATATCTGCTCGGAGATAATTTAAATAAATTGCTTTAGTTCTACTTAATGAAACATTTAGCTGTATCCAATCCTTATCTCAAACTGCACCAACATTTAAATGGACAGGGCTCAGTGCACGCAATTTATCTCCCAGCAAGTTAAAAGTTGTCTGCAGCAATCGTTGCGTGGCGTACCAGGACCCATGTGTGCAAGATAAAACACAAGCACATGTTCATGTGAACTAGTATTTCATGATTATCATCATCAGCCTTGGTCAATCCACTGCTGGTTAAAGGTCTCCCCAAGCTGCTGCCATTACCTGAGAGATCCTGGCATTTGGTATAATCGGAGTATTATTAGTGTCGCTCCTTGGAGCCTAAGCGATTGAATGTTTTACATAAATTGCAGTAATCATGATTACTTGATACAATCAAGATCATTTTATTTCACGTTTTTTTGCATGAACATGCCATTTGTAAAATTTCATGGCAGCTAGATTATGTTTTAAATACTGTATAGTGCACATTGTATCTAATAACAGCCACTATCTACAATACAAATATAAGTACATGTTACGATGAAAGAGTCACATAAATGTGCAACTTTTATTTATTTAAAGAATAGGCAAGGCTTGTGTCAACACACTGACAGGCATGAAACATTTTTTTAGCAAGAATAACGGATTACATTTATATTCAGTCAAATGTGTATAGGTAATTCACTGGTGATGGAGTTTTTAGTCCAGAGTATCATAGGTATAGTCGTAAATTAAAATATCACGGTATGTAATCTCTGTCAACGCAAAACAGCCCACGATCACAGATCTGTACTAAAGTGACATTTCAATTATCAAATATAAAGAGGGGTTTCTTGGTCGTAATTGAGCAGTGTATGATTATGTAGCGATCCAGCTGTATTCTTATTGGTTCCACATTGATAAAAAACATGTTGGTGTTTCATAGTGAGGTGTTCGAAACAAATAGAAACTATCTAGCAGGTTTCACTATTCAATGAACGGGCAAGAGCTTCACATCAGCCCGTGTGGCTCATGAGCCACGACATGAAAGTCAAAATCAGAGAAGAATAAGTATGGCATGAGTGCGACAATGTCAAGTCCCACCTATAATCGTCTTTGCCGCATTGCACGTGCAACTCGTAATCAAGAGGACATTTCACGTGGCCCTTTTTCACAAATTTACAATAGAAAAAGCATTCAGCGCGAACGTAAAACGTGGTTTAACCGAGGTGGGTGGAGGGGGGGGGAGTTATTTGAAAGCATAAACTCATATCACAAGGATTAATGTTCCACTATTTACATTTCTACGGGGAAAGTGTCAGAAATTCTTAAGGAAATGTATTTCTTTCCAATGTGCAAAACAAAAGAAGAAAACGTGCAAATACATGGATTCCGAAAGGAGGAATTTAATGAAGCGGCGATGACGCTACGTTTCAAACCCCGCAACGAGAAGGCGACGTCGTGCACAGCGACGTCATCGGGAAGCGAGGGACGAGGGGAGGCACAGGAACCTCGATCGCTACGGTGCAAACGTCAAGAAGAATCAATTTAGTGATGATTAGTGTGTCCAAGCGTTAAGCAGCCCCTTTCATAAATGAGCCCTGTTTCATTCACGGCGAAGCTTTAATAGCTACATAACTGCACGCTTCAGTTTAATTCGTCTTTAGACAGACAGAATGGCAAACGGACTGAGCTACTGCATTAAAGCTCTCAACCTTAGTTGAATTGCATGAAATAAACACACTCTTAACACTAATCATTAGGACTCCTTGATAGCAGAAAACATTTAGCAGGCTGAAATTTCAGGTAACAGCTCTGTTTCAGTGCAGAGAGAGAGAGAGAGGGCAGGTAGATTGGCCGACAGTCAGAGATCACACTCTGGGGGCTCTGAGAAAACTGGGACATTTTCCGAAAAAATTACAAACGGTCCATTCTGAATTAACACGAGTAGTTTGCTTCTGTATTCCTGTGCACACTACAGGTAACTCAGCTGCCAAAGTCATTCACTTTGCAATACATTCACACGACATCTGCTGGAAGCCTTCCTAACTAAATTCATGGCTTGTGAGACCAACATGTCAGCACTGGACTGACATGTTGGGTTTTATCATCTCTCCAATGCTGTCTTCCTGCCTGATGGGACATGCAGTGTTGCTAAATTGTTGTTATTCATGAACACCTGATTTTTACAAAATAATTCAGTGGTACGTTATTAAACACACATAGAGATAATCAGCTCAGCCAAAAATTCCTTGCCAAAGTGCGCCTGGCTGTGTTTTGAAAAAAAAAATCCATTTACCGCCCGGTGATTTTTTTAAAGTTACCGGGTGGTAAATCTGGCCACCTTTAACATTTAATTAATTGGCTTGTCTCCAAGGAATGCAGGGCAAGCACCTGCCAGTAAAAGTTGTGTGAAAAGTGCATCAGAATGAAATACCTTTCACGATGTAGGCAAAATTAACTGGACGAGGGACATATAAGGCTTGGGGGTGCTTTTGGACGGCACCTAATTGTACACTTGCTGTGGATTTCAAAAGTAGTCAAAACAGTTAAATGCATTTCGTTGTTATTGCTTTGCGGTGCCTATTAATGTCTTAAAAGGAGTCTTATTTATATCCCCTTCGTCCTAGATAAAAATGGGCCCTCTTGACAAATCGTCACATGCACATTTCCTCTCTTATAATTGCTTTCCGTGTTATTTCCATTGTAAATTTTGCATGACTTGATAGCATTGTAAAGCAAAGGTGACATTAAAAGATGGTAAATTGTAAGCACAATATTTTTCCTCCCGTTTGGTATATATCCACGTGATTGTGCTTTTGTAATTATTGTGACAAGAACATTATAAATTAAATAAAAATGCTGACAAAATGCAGAAAAACTAAACACATCTTAACAAAACAAAGGAAACGCCCATTGCACGTAATTGCCATATTTTACTTTTCTAGTGAAAACTGAAAATTCACATTTCCAGTAAACACTTCCAGTCACCGAATTGTGCTGCACAAAGTTATTCCTGTAAAATGTGTAGAAACGTGAATGTTGATGCTGGGCAACTGGCTGGAAAGTTAACGCAGACCTGCCAGGCAATGCACAACCAGTCAAATCTTGTTGGACGGGGCCAACGCGTTTCGACTCCTCGTGTGATGTAATGGAAGTTGGCAAGGACATCAAGTGCGCAGCTCCTCTGCGCCCCGAGCAGCCCAAGCAACGTCTGAAGAAGCAATTTGTAAGTTTGTTTGGGTCTAAGTAAATGAATAATCAAAGAACGAATGTACCTAAAACCCACTGGACACGATTTGTAAATAATAATTCAAGAACTTTCCGAGGGCTGGCTGCAGTCGATTCCTTTACTATTTTGTGATGTTCTCACAGTTAATAATGGCGGCCCGCCAATCATCCTACACAATTCAACGTTTTAACCATTTTTAGTCTATGATGGTAAAATAAATGCACGTGCGATTTTGAAAAGAACCAATTTTCGTATATTTCTGTTCAGCAGTAACCAAAATAATGAAAACTGCTCGTCGTGGAAGATTTGTGGCATACACATAGAATGCCTGGTAGACTGAATACAGCGTAGAATATGCTCCATTAGTATTGTGTGGCTGAGACCCAGGTACGAACCCTCTGCATGTCTTAAAATTATTAAATACAGGTTTCATTCTGAAGCCTGCTATCTTTTCAACAATATAATTCAAACACTTATAAAATATGCTTGCCAAATTCCATCACATCACTCGGAAATGTTTTTTTTTCCATTCACGAATATTTAACACATTATTTGGTGATGATGCATTGGCACAAGCACAAATAACAAGAACATAATCAACACAATCGTCTAGACTACCTTAAGGAGAAGTATATGAAAGGCAATATTTTGGGCAATGGCTGTTATTCACAAGCACACACACACTTACACATGTTTTCTTTTCAAAGCGGTGTCGACAAATGTGTTGTGTGTGGACCAATCAGTTTCAAAGACAATGCATATATTATCAGTGTTTTTTTTATATTCTTAGTTTTTTCGGTAAAGTCACGTTGAAGAGAAACAACAAAATAACAAAATATATATAAAACATCACCTGATGATGACCGTTTGAGTTATGGTCGAAACGTCGTGAGAATTTTTATTGTTTTATATATATTTTGTTATTTTGTTGTTTCTCTTCAACGTGACTTTACCGAAAAAACTAAGAATATGAATTACTGCAGTCACGAAAGCTTTAAATCAAAATTTAGTGTTTTTTTTGTTTGCATTTTGACCACAAGTATTGTGGTTAATGCAGACATGATTCCTTGTAAACGGTTTCAGTTTGGTGTTTTAACAACCTACCACCTGTTTCGTTGCCAGATAAAAGGGGAAAAACCTACTATTCGCAATGTTGGTTATTTTAATCAACAAATATTTGTCTTCAAATACTATAACACACAATGCTTAACTTTAGTCAGCAGCAAGTTTCTCACCGCTGATATTTTATACATTACGTTAGAGTCATTAATTAATTCACTGTGCTGGGTTGGAGGAGGGTTTGCGACACATTTAAAAAAATGGTCTTATCCAAAAATGCAATTATGAATCATAACATTGGTCGCGAAAGCTTACATGTAAAATAATGTGCAACACCATGGACAACATTTGCATGTTGTTGCGGTTGCTTTTGTTTGTAAAAAAAAGACAAGGGGTTTACTTTTTGTGCTATAATTTCCCCCCTAAGGCTAACTGAAAAAAGGCATTTGGCTAAAGTGATGATTTCTTTCCATTCCTTTTGTCACGCCCATGATAATCATTTGCATGCCTCGTTATCCTCTAGAATGTATATTAGTTATATATAAATAATGCACAATAGAGAACTGCATGTACTATACACACGTGTTAAGTGGTACACTATTCTTTGGTTCTTTCGGAAACGTCATGTAGATAGAAAATAATAATAAAGTGAATACAAATAATAAAATGAAGGTAAAACATATATTTCTTTAATTATATTTTTATTAACTTTATTATAATTTTTATATCTACGTGACTTTTCTGAAAGAACCAAAGAACATGAATGCCTGCAGTCACGAAAGTTTTCAGTAAAAGTTTAAGTGGTACACTTTTTAAAGCTGGATCAATATAGTTCTGCAAATCCTCAAGCCGAAACCAGATAGTCAAACAGGCAAAGTGTACAATGCAAGTAAGTGTTAAAAACCCTCCATTTGCCACTCACTACTATTGTCTGGGGAAAGCCTGAGGTCATGGTGAAAGGAATGTTATACTGGACATGAGGGCACTCAGAGGCAAGTAAACACTTGAACTATATCTAACACATAGGCTTTCGCGACCAATATTATTCATAATAAAGGTTTTTGGGTTAGATCGCGTAAGTATGTGTAGTGGATTCAACTGAGTCGCAGACGTACTTCTTGGAGGCAACACATTTATTTACGCCAACACATAACACAAAGGGGTTACTGCCCCTTTACCAGATCGTGGTGGACCACCAGGCTGACTACGCTAGTTACTGGGAGTAGCTACAACAGACAGGACCCTAGCTGGGGTCCTCGTCCACGTTTTGGGGACTTCTTCTTGGACATAGAAGGTAGATCTAGATCTTCAGATGACGGCAGCAACGCTGAATCCCGGTCCCCTGTGCGAACCCCGGTTTACATGCTGCTGGGTCGTGGCTGGCTCCGCCCTTGGTCACGGCCACCTTCGAGAAACCTCTTGTCGTTTCTCGACCCTTCCCGTAGGATCTACCCTGACACGTGACCACCCCCAAGCCCCCACCTGGGGCCCTGGTGTAGATTTTTCTGGTCACGTGCCTATCTAGGGTCAACCAGAGTGCCATGGCCTAGGGTGACCTCATCCCATGGCTGACACTCTCACACTCCCTCCTGTAGGAGTCAGCACTGCACGCCACGCGCGGTGCCACTGTGCTATTCCAGCGCTCACTGAGCCCCCTCTTGGGCTGGAAACCCTCCACCACCCGACATAGCCAATCAGTAAGGGATTGTCACAAAATGACAAACAGTTACTACTTCAGCCCACCGGTGTATTGAAGAGTGAATCCACAACATTTACAATTTGAGTACGACGTTTCGCTGGCAATTACATCCACACTCAGGTGGCAAGATGGCGGCGGCGTGTGTAGCAGCGTGTGAGTTGTTTTTGTGAGTTGTTTTGCGTGAGTGTAAACTGTGCGTGAGTGTGTGAAAATGTGAGTGAGAATGAGCTGTGTGTGAGCTGCGTGTGAGTGTGTGTGAGTGAGCCGTGTGTGTGAGTGAGCCGTGTGAGGGTGAGCCGTGTGAGAGTGGCCGTGACGAGAGGGACTTCTGCGTTCGTGTGTGTGTGATGGTGTGGTGATGTGCACTCTGTGTGTGTGAGATGGTGTGGTGATGTGCACTCTGTGTGTGTGTGTGATAGTGTGGTGGTGTGCACTCTGTATGTGTGTGATGGTGTGGTGATGTGCACTCTGTGTGTGTGAGATGGTGTGGTGATGTGCACTCTGTGTGTGTGATGGTGTGGTGATGTGCACTCTGTGTGTGTGATGGTGTGGTGATGTGCACTCTGTGTGTGTGTGAGATGGTGTGATGGTGTACACTCGTGTGTGTGTGTGATGGTGTGGTGATGTGCGCTCGTGTGTGTACCTGGCGCAGCCTGAGTGAGGCCTGGTTGGTCAAGCACGTGGCGCAGCACGAGTTAGGCCTGGTTGGTCGCGCACCTGGTGCGGCCTGGGTGGGGCCTGGTTGGTCGTACACATGACACTGCCTGAGGCCTAGCTGATCATGCACCTGGCACAGCCTGAGTGAGGCCTAGCTAATAGTGCACCTGGAGAAGCGTGAGTGAGGCCTAGTTAATCATGCACCTGGCGCAGCCTGAGTGAGGCCGAGTAAATCGTGAGGCCTGGCTGATCGTGCACCTGTCGCAGCCTGAGTGAGGCCTAATTAATCATGCACGTGGCGCAGCCTGAGTGAAGCCTAGCTGATCGTGCACCTAGCGCAGCCTGAGTGAGGCCTAGTAAATCATGCACAAGGCGCAGCCTGAGTGAGGCTTAGTTGGTCATACACGTGGCGCGGCCTGAGTGAGGCCTGACACTGCCTGGGTGATGCCTGGCGGATCGTGCATCTGGCGCGGCCTGAGAGAAGCCTGGTTAATCGTGCACAAGGCGCAGCCTGAGTGAGGCCTAGTTGACAGTGCACCTGGCGTAGCCTGAGTGAGGCCTAGTAAATCGTGCACCTGGCGCAGCCTGAGTGAGGCCTGGTTGATCGCGCCCATGGCGCAGCCTGAGTGAGGCCTAGTTAATAGTGTGACGGACCACAAGCTGTGTTCCTGCCAAGGCGGCATTGCCACGGACCCCAAGCTGTGTTCTTGCAAAGGCAACATTGTCGTGGCCCCAACCTGTGTTCCTGCCAAGGCAACATTGCCACGGACTCCAAGCTGTGTTCCTGCCAAGGCAACATTGCGACGGACCCCAAGCTGTGTTCCTGCCAAGGCAACATTGCGACGGACTCCAAGCTGTGTTCCTGCCAAGGCAACATTGCGACGGACTCCAACCTGTGTTCCTGCCAAGGCAACATTGCGACGGACTCCAAGCTGTGTTCCTGCCAAGGCAACATTGCCACGGACCCCAAGCTGTGTTCCTGGAAAACTTCACGGAGATCGTCAAGACGGCCAAGGGTCGTGAATGAAGAGTCCCCTGTGTGGGCTTCAGTGGGGCCGTCTGGTCGGGCAGCAGAGACATGAGAGGCCAAGAAACGACATTCCAGTCGTGGGCTGAGCTCATGGAGGGCTAACTCGAGCACCATCCTGCGGCGGGGAAAGGAGGTGGTGCAAGCGGTTCAGCCAAGCCCACAACAGCCAAAAATCTACTGTCCCTGTCTGGGGGGGCGCTGTTCAACCCTAGCACATGGGCGAGAAGCCGTGCATGTGTGACGAGTGCGGCAAGACGTTTTCTCGCGCTCAGGCCTACAAGTATATATATATTTTTCTTTTCCGCTTGTGTGTTAATCTGTGTTTACCCCGGATGTTTTAGAGATGGCAATTCTCCTGCTGTGTATCCTACTGCTGTCCCTCCCGGCCATATCTAGTGCCACACTCAACTCTACAAACAGCTACCCTCGTTACTTTGCGTCCATACTTGTTACTCGATTTGCCACTACACCTGCTAATGAAACAGCTCATATACACTTCAACACTCCATCATTGTATCCTTTAAAACCCTATCTTTGTCCCATTACTTCACCAGCACTCATTCCAAACTTCATTCTGCTCTTAAAAATAACACCATCTGCAAGCTACTGCTATTCGTCCAAGGTTCGCCGCTCTTCATCCTTTCACAGGGTGGTATTGAGCTTCAGGGTGGTATTGAGCTTCATCCTGGCCCAAATGAAAATAACTCGTTATCATTCTGTAGATTTTTCTGGCAGGAAACGTGTTGGTGTTCTACATGTCAACATCAGAGGGCTTGTGATTAAATTGAGCTTCATCCTGGCCCAAATGAAAATAACTCGTATAATTCTGTAGATTTTTCTGGCAGGAAAGGTGTTGGTGTTCTACATTTCAACATCAGAGGGCTTGTGATTAAATTAAGTCAACTAAAACTAGAAGTGGCAAATCTTGACCCGGACATTTTTTGCCTAACAGAAACATTTCTCACTCCTGCCGTCAATGAATTGCAGATTGTGATTGACAACTACAACCTTTTTCGGCTTGACCGAGGATCTAAAGGAGGTGGAATTGCCATCTATGGTTGTAATACTATTGCATGTTCACTAGCTCACTCCTTGTTTAAAAAATGTTGCTTTGAAGGTCTGGCTCTCAAAATAACTCTCCCAAATAATCAACAGATATTGGTAGTGTGCTCCTATCGACCGCCTAGTGGGAAGGATGTTGAAGCTCCATCTGCACTGATAGAGCTTTTGGGGGCCTCCCTAAAGGTGAAATAGTTTTAGTGGGTGATCTAAATTGGAATTGGCTAAATCCGCCGGTCGTGTCCACAAATTTTGCAGATGAATTTAATCTGTTTCAAT